TTTTTTTTTGAGACAGAGTCTCAAGCTGTTGCCCTGGGTAAAGTGCTGTGGTGTCACAGCTCTTAGCAACCTCAAACTCTTGGACCTAAGCATTTCTCTTGCCTCAGCCTCCCAAGTAGCTGGGACTACAGGCTCCCGCCACAATGCCCAGCTATTTTCTTTTTTGGGCATAGTTGCCATTTGTTTGGCAGGCTCAGGCTGGATTCAGACCTGCCAGCTCTGGTGTAGATGGCTGGTGCCCTAGCTGCTGAAGCACCAAGCTACAGGTGCCAAGCTATATATTTTCTTTCTTATATAACTCTTTCTTAAGAGTTAATAACTGCCATGGTTTCTAAACATTTGCCTGAATTCTTTGTGTACTTAGGACAATATTATCCTCACATTCTCTGACAGATAAAATTTACTTTAGTATGGTTAAACATCAGGTAATTTATCATTTCCATTTTTCTCTTTGACATACCGCCCAAGCCACCCTTCTTTCTCCTGCTTGAATTCCAACTGTCGTTTTCAGTTGTCATCCGGGTACTCTCACTATTATCCCAGGCATTGCCATTGCTTCTGTCCTGTGTTGGCATCCATTTTCTTGAATTTTATGACATCTTGTTTCCTAGTTTATTTCTGTTTTGGTGGAGCACATCATTTAGGAGCTCCTAAGATTGGGTGCTGAGAGATAAGTTGTTTGAAATTCTGTATGTCTGAAAATATCAATTCTATTTTCACATATAATTGAAATTTGTTAGGATATATAATTCTAGCTTGAAAAATCATTTCTCCTCAGAATTGGAAGGTTTTCTTCAATGTTACTAGTTTCCAGTGTTGTTACTTAGAAGTCCAAAGACATTCCAGGCCACACTCAGCTTTTTGTGAACCTTCTTTTCCCTTATGACAGATTTTAGGACTTTCTCTTTATCCTCAAATTTATATATTGAAGTTCATACCAATAGCTATAATTTCATTCTAATACAGAAAGTTCATTCTACTACAGTTAAGCAGTTAACATACTCATCATCCATACTGTTAACCTTTACTTTTAGTGTGTGTGTGGTAAGAATACTTAAATCTACTATCTTGGCAAATTATTAGTATATGAAACAATATTGTTAACTATCATGGCTTTTGGACCGAGTTGTTTGGGAAGGGTTTCTCATTGTCTTTTGAGAGACAATGAAGGTTTACTCAGTTAAAAATCAGTATTTTATGGGAAGGAAACAACACAAACATTTTTAGTTTACAGGCAATCTAAAAGGATTCCTTCTCTGGCTCACATTTAACATAAAACAACACTTAATTTGACTGACATTTGTTAATGAGCTGCTCCTGACTGAGGAAATTAGGAAACAACTAATAATTTTCATATACAGAATAACATTCATTTCTTTTCTAGCTCTTCCTCCAAAACCACCTAAGCCAGTGACGTCTGCAGTTACAAATGGAATGAAGGACAGTTCTGTTTCTCTTCAAGATGCAGAATGGTACTGGGGGGATATTTCAAGGTAACTAAAATGCTACTGTAATTGAATAAGTTTTTAAAAAATAATTTTTGAGAATAAACAAAACATTTTTTTTTTTTTTTTAGAGACAGTCTCACTTTTATCACCCTCCGTAGAGTGCTGTGACATCACAGCTCACAGTAACCTCCAACTCCTGGGCCCAGGTGATTCTCCTGCCTCAGCCTCCCTAGTAGCTGGGACTACAGGCGCCCGCCCCAACGCACGGCTATTATTTTGTTGTTGTTGTTGCAGTTTGGCCAGGGAATCTGCTACCCTTGGTATATGGGGCCAGCACCCTACTCACTGAGCCACAGTCGCTGCCTCATTTTTTTTTTTTTTTTTGAGACAGAGTCTCACCATGTTGCTCTTGGGCTCAAGTGATTCTCTTGCCTCAGCCTCCCCAGTAGCTGGGACCACAGGTGCCTGCCACAATGCCCAGCCGTTTTTTTGGTTGCAGTTGTTGTTGTCTAGCAGTCCAGGGCTGGGCTCAAACCCTCCACCTTTTGTGTATGTGGCTGTGCCCTACTTACTCACTTTGGTGCTGAGCCAAAGAATAAGTAGAACATTTTAACACCCATTAGTTTTCCTTTCTAAGATTATCATTTTAAAAATTGTGTGCAGGAACATTTCAAAAGTGTCTTAATGCTTTTCTTTCTTAATGAAAAAGTGACAAGAAAATATTTATATTATGGGTGTGATTATTACTTTTTTTTTTTTTTTTGAGAAACAGTCTCAAGCTGTCGCCCTGGGTACAGTGCCATAGCGTTAGAGCTCACAGCAACCTCAAACTCTTGGGCCTACGCCAGTGGTTCTCGACCTGTGGGTCGTGACCCCTTTGGGGATTGAACAATCCTTTCTTTCTTTCTTTTTTTTTTTTTTGAGACAGAGCCTCAAGCTGTCACCCTAGGTAGAGTGTCGTGGCATTACAGCTCACAGCAACCTCCAACTCCTGGGCTCAAG